GAGAAGGAAAAAATTGAAAATGTAATTATAATTATTATTTTTAATAATCTCTTTATTATTATTATTATGATTATTATCTTTATTATTATTAGAAGATAGTGATATTAATTTGTTGAATTCTTTTAATCTTGATTTTACTTCGGATATAAGAAATAGTTGAGGCCTTTGATCACTTGGCGGCAGTGATGTGAAGCATGTTATTAAAATATCTGGTAATTCCCATTCCTTTAACAATGTATCTCGGCTATATAAAAATAAATATTATAAAGATAGTTGGAATTAGTATATTGATATTTGATGGTTAGATGATTAATTTCTTGGGATTATTCTCCTACTAATCATAACAATCATAATAATCACAACAATCATGACAATTATAATCTTATAATAGTATAATAAATCATCATAATATTAATATCATACCTAACGGTTCTTTGAGCCAGACATCTTTGACAACAATACATACGAAATTCCCAACACATTGACAACTTCTTTTTATCATTTTCCTTACAGAATTGGCATTTATTCAATAAAACCATCAACCAAATATACTGTTGTTCTGACATATCTTTTGGTGGTGGCAATGTTAGATGCGATATGAATTGTTCACGTGAATTGCACCAGATTGATTGTGTCGTTGTTGATGTAAATGACCATAACATTGATCGATAATTTTTACATACTGTTGTCAATGAATATAAATCTGATGGTGATAAGTATGAACATATTTTTATAAATATCTCGGATGGTATTATTGTTGCCATGTGAAATTATTATAGACGAGTTTGAATTAAAAAAATTATAGGCAAGTTTGAAAAGTTGAGTTTAAAAATTATATTATTTGTAGAGAGAAGTTTATTGTTTATAAGTATCGATCAATCAATCAAGGAAAAGATCCAGCAAAAAAAAAAAAATAATTAAAAAAATATCAAAAGATTTTAGTTTATGTTGACGTTGAATTTTCATATTTATATGTGTTTGTTGAGAGAATATAGTGTTGAATGTAATGTTGAAAAAATTTGTGAAAAAAAAATTAGAAATTTTTTTTTTATTTTGATCAAAAAAGATTTTTTTGAAGAAAATCAAAGATATTATTTATTTAAATAAATTTTCCGGAAGGGAATGAATGAAATTAATTAATTATGTAAATAAAATATAATAAATAAATTCTTAAAAATTATAATTATTAAAAACCTCCTATAACCAACTAGGTTGACTGACTAAATAACTAACAAAAAATTAACAAATTAGAAAAACAAGAAAAAAATTTAATTTAGAAAAATAAGAAAATAAGAAGGTAGGATTTATTTACAATTTATAATTATTTATTATCTAAAGAAAACACCTCTCTGATAATAAATAATAATAATAATAATAGTTAATAGTGGCAATATTAAAATGTTGGCTAAATTGCATTCATTCATTATTCATTTGCAAATAATCGCAGTAAATAAGAATTGTTTTTCCAATTTTTAAATAAAAAATGTATATTTAATAAAATATATATTATGTAGAGTTTAAACTATAATTAAGTTTATTACATACAATATATAATATTTCTATTAATATATTATATTAATATTATATGCGTGTTACGATAAAACGAAACAATTTGTAAAAAAAAAAAATCATTATTTTTCATTTGGGTTTCTTTTTATCTGTTATTTATCTTTTGTTCGAAACAATAATTATAATGTGCACATGATAAACTAAATTATTATATAAATAACGACAATAATTAATTATAATAACAAGTCGGTTGTTTATTTATATTTAAAAAACAATTGATTGATAGGACCGACTAATATGTAATAACAAATATTTTTTTTCCCGTTTTTTTTTTATACCGAAATTATCAAATTATTATTGTTATTATCACAATTTTCATTATCATTATTAATATATATATATTAATGTGTGACTGGGTTATATATGCGCATAATTTCTTTGGACAAAATTTCCTATATAATTTTTAAAAAATTTAATTATTCTTGAAAATTGTGAAACTGTATTTGTTAATATTAACGGAAAAAACATTTTCTGTTTCAAATTTATTTTGCGGGGTAGATTTATATAAACACAAGTCATACAAAGGAAAAAAGAAAGAAGGATTGTAGTAATTATATAATAATAATGTAATAATCGAATCGTAATTGATGAAAAGTAAACGAGAAATCTTTTTTTTCATTTGTAAATTTTTTATTAAATTCAAATGTTAATGCATTATTGTCTGTCCTTAATTCTTTGTAATTATAATAATGAGAGGAATAAATATGATAATGACAATAATGGATTATAATGAATGAACGATGATTCATTGCGTCACAGATCTTCTTTTTCTTATTTTGGGCCCAGTTAACGGGAATAATTGTTACACGGCATATTTTTATATTTTTTACTACAAATGGGTGGTAGCACAAGATAGTAATAGATAATTTTCTATACAAACAAATTTTTGTATGATAAACCATATTAAAACAGAATATTGAACAGTTTAGAGAGGAACCATTGCAACGTCTCTAGAGGCATTTAATGTTTCATTTCTGGATCTGATGTCATAATCAATTGCAAAATGTTTGCAGGAGATATTGTACCATTCCATGGCGCTCCTTGCAAAAAAGTTTATGAAACAATGACACATTGTGATTTATAAAAACTTTATTATATTATCAGGTAGGAAGATTCCACATATTAGCTTTATAAATGAACTTTGTTCATCACATAAATCTTACAAGATAGAAATATGCAATAACCTAATACCTTAATACCTTGCTTTCTTGGATTAATATATTTATTGAGTCCATGTGATCACATTTATTTTATCTAATTTGTCTTGAATATACAAAAATGCAGCCCAAATTGTTTTGCTGATATCAAAAGATAAA